CTGGGTGTGGTAGCGCACACCTGTAGTTCCAGCTACATGGAAGGCTGAGGTGGAAGGATCGCCGGAGCCCAGGAGGTCGAGGCTGCGGTGGCTGGGAGCGGCCACTGCACTCCAGTCTGGGTGACAGAGTGAGACCCCAACTCAAAAAAAAAAAAAAAAAAAAGAAATGCATTCATGAACTCTGCTTGTCATCCTCTCGAGGCCTGGGATGCCAGTTGGAAGAGCTGCTATGAAAAGGAGCTCCTTGATCTCAGCAACAAAGACAGACAGAAGGAGCAAAAATAGGGTATTCAACATAATGGATATGGGCATGGAAACCAGATCCTGAGCTGTGGTTAACCAATCACTGAGTCCTAGGAATGAAAAAGGCCAGACATCCCAGGATATGGCCTAGTAATTACCATAACTAAAGACTTCTGGTTGGGCCAACAGGTCTGTCTTAAGCTGCCAAGGTAAACTCAAGATCTCCCACTTGATTTCCAGACCTTAAATGAAGAGGAAGTCAAGTATCTGTTTGAAGGAAAACCTTATTTTAACACTTAGATGCATATTATGAACCTTCCTTGCAGCCTTCCCCAAAGGGAACTACAGAAGGGATAGAAAACCAGCAGTTTCCCTAGTTGTCTTGGCCAAACATCTAGGGAGATAAATCACATGGAAACACGAAGTTCCCTTGGTAAAGTTCCAGGGACTGAGAAGTCTGTTTGAGGCAAGAATATGTCCTTCATAATGTAGGAAAAAATGACTATATTTTGAAGCTTTTACCATTAAGGCCTAATTCCAGGCACTATCTTGCCACTCTGGGGCATCTTGCTCTGAGCTGTTCACTGACTGCCGGCTTTGGGTTGGGCCTAGAGTAAGTGAAGGCTTTCTAGCTGGGAAAACCTTTAGCTCAACTGGTTCTGCCACCAGGCCATGTTATCTGTCTGTCTGTGGCATATGAAGGCGCCATACAAAGCTGTGGCAAAGCAGAGTGCTATATGAAGCTGTGGAAAGTCCTGACAAGAAAAAGGTGGTGGGGGAACCCAGGGTTTGGAACCAAGTGCTGCTCTGGCCCACAAGTGACTATTATCCTTGTGAGAAACGCCCTTCTGGCTCACTATTGGACCCTAGGGGAGCCTAAATACTTGGCTGTGGCACACTGGGTAGCCATGTTGCCCCTCATGAAGTGGTGTTAGCCAAGCCATAAAGTTAGGCATGGCAAGAAGCATTCATCATCAGGTAGACACTATCACTCCAGATTAGGCCTCTGAAGGCATAAGGAAGTCCTGGGTGTGGACTGCCCACTCACTCTCCCACACCTGCTACCATACTGCTGAGCTTTCTTTGGTCTATACCTATGGCTCTGAGGGGGACAAAAAGTTGTCTTCATCATTTTGGGCCCTTATTCCGGATTTGGATTTGTTTACCATCCCTACCATGCCTCTCCCACCATCAATATTCATGGAAGTATCAAATGCCATAAACATCATTGTGGTGTCCTCACATATCACATTCAACCCCCAAAGTGCACTTTACAGCAAAAGCAAAGTAGTGGGCTGATGCATAGGGCATTCCCTCATGACTCCTCAGGATCCCCACAAACCAGCAGCAGTTGCCTTCACCATGTGGTGAAATGGCTTGCTGAAAACTCAGTCATGGCACTGAAAACACCACCTTGAGAGGCTGGGTCAGGCGTGCAGGAGGTAGTATAAGCTTAGAGCTGGCAACCAATATCTGTCGCCATTTCTCCTACAGGAATAGGAAGCCATGTGGAGATGGACATGCTATCACTGTATGTCAATGCTCTTCTCATACCTGAGGTTTGGGACCAGGCTGGTGTAGAGGGTTTAGTCCTAAGGAAGAAACACATCCTCAAAAACATAGGAACGAGTCAACCGAATTGGAAGCTGAGGCAGCCACTTGGTCATTTCAGGCTCCTTATGCCTCTGAGTGACAGATAACAAGAGTTATGAAAGGAGCTAGGATGAAGCACTCTATCAAGGAAAAAATATGATTGCTGCTATGTATTACAAGGGGACAGGACGTGTGGGGGATTCCTGGAGTGCTTCCTGGTGCAGCCATGCCCAGTAGTAAATGGCTGTCACACAGGCAGGACCACTAAGCAGCTTCAGAAATGAAGACCAAAAATCCATAATCCTAAACACTAATTCTCATGACCAGTTATAGAAGTGGACTGTAGACTTTACCCATACTTCCTTTCTTGCTGTTACGTAATTTTGGTAATATAGTTAATTTGACCAATTAATCCATGGGTTGCAGAAAACTGTGGATTTTGAGAAGACTGAAAGAGGAAGATTATCACTAGTGACACTGGACTTTGGAGAAGAGTAGCCCTGTCATTACTCCTGGACTTGGTAGTTGGATGTGGCCTTGAAGTCCCTAAGCAGAGAGGAATTGATTTTAGTTATATGTGGGAGAGTCATAATACATCATGGGAAGAACATCATGTGTGTACGTACATGCATGCATGAGTGTGTGTGTCAGGGAGTATCAGTTTTTTGCCTACCAAATTCTTCTACCTTCCACTCTCCACTATCCTTTGGAAAACTGCCTCTCTCCCACTTTGTGAGGCCCTGAACTTCAGACTGGATTCTCTCACCCGGGATTTGAATCTTGAGTGGAAGGAGACCCACTAGACACAACGGCAAGCTGATGGTGACCTGCCAACTGCAGCTCCTCCTGGGAGGCAAGCCCTGCTCCTCCTGGGAGGCAAGCCCACCCTTCTCAAGCCCAATTGTTCAGCCGCTCTTTCGGTTCTGTGAGCTACCCCAACATCCTTCTCATGAACATTTTCCTTGGTGAAGTTGGTCCAAGTTAACATCTTGCTCAAAACCCAAGAATCCTAATGGATAGACAATGTCTCCAGAGATCGTCTCATACATTTTCACCTCTCATCAGCTACTAGCCCAGGGTCTGGCATAAAGTAGGTGTTCAGACTACGTCTGATGAATGAGTGGGTGGATGAATAAATGAATGAACAATACTTCAGCTCTCAGTTCACCAAAGTAATCTGGATATGCGGCTGGGAAAGCTGGGGACACAAGGGGCAAGACGGAACAGTGAGGAGTCACCTGAGCACAAGAGGAGGTAGAGAAGTCAGACATGTCAAAATGGAGGGGGGAGATGTCAGGTAAGGCGAGGCTGGGGGTGAGGGGTGGTAGGTTTGGGAATGAAAAGCTTCTCACAGCTTGAGAAGCAGGAAATGGTCAGCAAGTAGCTGAGAGGCAGACACTGGTTGGCTCCTGGGCTGGTGTTGCTGCAGCCAGAGACAAGGGGTGCTCCACGAAGCCCCTGGCTCTGCCCTTCCTCCAGGGTTCCTTCCTTTGTTTTCCTCTTCCAAATGAAGGACCAATTCCAAAGGCATAAGCCCCCAGACACCCAGCTAAGGGGCATAGACCATTAGCTCAGTGGTGCAAGAAGCACAGACTATACAGCTGTGGCCACAGAAGGCTGACACGGAACTTCAGTCCAGGAACCAAAATATAGATTCATTTTTCCAGGGTCCAGGGACTACAGCATGGAGGGGTCCCTGACCCCATGTACCTCCAACCACACCTGATAGGGCAGGCAGGGTACATAGTTGCTACTTTAATTGCATTCCAAGGGGAGTGGGCTAGCTCCAGATCTACCTCACCCCAGGCCTCAAGGAGGGATGCTCAGGAAGGACCCAGGGTGCTGGGCCCAGCACAGAATTCCCTGGGAGGCCATACATGAGGGCCCAGAGCTCCACAGTCAATAGTTATGGGGCTAGGGGTTCTAATTTCCAGGCACAGAGACACCCTTCCAACCAGGTGCATGGCTAGATTACATCCTTCCTAGAACACCCGTGTGCACTAGCCCTCCACTACTGGTTAAGAGGGATATGGAATTCACTGTGAGCCTGCTTCCTTTCAGTTTGAAGTGCAGGTCTCTCAGAGTCAACACCTTCCCTCTGGCTACAGCTGCTGACACAACCCTTAGGCTCTCTCTTCATGAGCAAAGAGCCTGGGAAAAGTAGAGGAAGAGGGTACTGAGGTTGAGTGAGAGGCCAGATGGTCTGTTCCTCACTTGGGTATGGAAGGGCAGGGTGTGGGGAGCCCTCCAGGCAAAGGGACAGACAGAGCTGGTGAAGGACAGACAGAAGGCTGCAAATGGACTCAAAGCCAGGGATGGGAGGCGTGCAAGGAAATATGGGAAGCCAATGAGTAAGTGATGGGGAGGAAGAGCATGAACACGCATCATCAAAGACCACCGCACGAGGAATGGCAGGCTCTGGAAGGGCCCTGAGCCCCATCTGGGCTCAGGGGCAGGTTAGTTGCAGGATAAGCTGGGATGAATGAGCCAAAGGTGCTGGGAAGAGAAGATACCCTGAGAGTCACCAGGCCAGACCCAGCAGAGGAAGTCTGGAACCCTGAGGACGGGAGAGGTCAGGGCCAAGCGAGAGGGTAAATGTCAGCCTGCGTGTCCCCAGAGTACAACACTGCTACAGGATTTGGCTGGGGCAAGGGGTCAGGGTGCAGAACTCATGCAGAGGACTCAGGGGAGCCTCCAGCAGTGGCAAACTGTAAACTTCAAGGTGGGCCTGGGCCGCCAGGCACTTGGAGGTGGGGCCCGCTTGAGGCCTGGGAGCCCTGGGTGACGACGGCACCAGAAGAGGCCAGGCACCAAGCCGTCTGGTGAGGAGCTGACTGACGAGAGGCTGCTCAGAGAGGTACCAAGTGGTGCCTCCCCAGCGTACCTTCCCAGGTTAGTTCCGTAAGTGGAAAGTCTCCATCCGGTTCAAGCTGCGTCCTGGTTGGTCTGCTGCTGGGTGGAGGCCCCCAGCCTCCTGTTGGGGCTACCGCATGCCCTGGGCCTTGGAGCCCTCCTCTTGGATGGAAGGCTGTCCCAACAATTGGATAGCAACTGCCTCTGAGGCTTGAGGGGTGGCCTTGGAGCTTGAGGCACTCTTCCGGGTGCCCTGAGGACTAGGAGGTGCTTTCTTCTGGGTCTGAGGGCTCAGCTGGGACCCCTTCCTGCCAGAAGATGGACTCTTAGAACCTTTGGCCTTGGCTTGGGAGTGGGCAGCCTCAGGACCCTTGAGGGGCTGTAGCCCCAGCATCTCACAGAAGGCGTTGCACTGGTGGGAAGAGGCAAACTGGTCCAGCAGGGCAGGGAAACAGCTCTCCTTGAGGCCTTGGTATCTGCAACCCAACAGGAAGAGCTGAGTGGGGTCCTGCCCAGAGTGAGAGTCCCTTGGGGGGCTGACTTTGGGACGGCCATGGTCAGGGTGTTGTGCCAGGGTACATCTATCCCACCTGAGGATCATGGAGAGGCTCTCCTGGGTGCCACCTCAGGTGGAGCATCCAAAACCTCAGTTTTAAATATGTGGTTTCATTACACCTCACACATGGACTGTATCACGTGGGGTATTAGTTGGTGTGCTATTGGTTGACCTTCTTAATATAAACTGGAGTGGATTCAAAGTCAGCACTTTGGTCACAGGCCCTTGCTGCCTGTCCAGACCTGGGATTAGGGGCCCCTTGGATGCTACCACATGGCCACAGGTGTGACTGAGATACTTTGGCCCCAGGCCCAGCACATCAGGGATGGAGCCCCAGCAAGACTTGGGACATTTTGTAGCCTGAGAAGGCTCTCGGAGGGCATTCTCTACACAACTCGCTCTCCCAGGAACCACTCACCCTCGCAGTTTCGTAGCAATCTGCACATCAGTCATCTTCCAGTCAACCCCTGAAAAAAGAAAGTCGGTGGTTGATGCCAGCCTGGGCCGGTTCTAAGTCCTCGTGTCTCCAGCATGGACATTGTCTTGGATGGGAACTTCCCAGGTTTCAGTGTAGGCACCTTTCAGGCACCCTCTCAGAGGTCACTACCACCAGCCTGTCCCCTAGGCAGTGTGCAGGTCTCTGTATTATTACTAGGAATATATTCCCATTTTTACAGTGAGGAGATAGGCTCAGAGTTAAATGACTTGAGCAAGGTCATGTTTACTCATTTAACAATTGAGGACTGACTTTACACAATGGCCATTATGAGTCAAGGTAAGAGATCAATCTTTCTTTCTGTGTTTTTGAGTCAGAGGTCTCACTCTATTGTCCAGGTTGGAGTGCAGCCTCAATCTCCTGGGCTCAGGTGATCCTTCCACCTCAGCCTCCCAATTAGCAGGGACTATAGGCACGTGCCACCATGCCTTGCTAATTTTTTTATTTTCTGTAGAGATGAAGTCTTACTATGTTGCCCAGGCTGGTATCAAAGATTACCAGATGTGTAGCAATGCTCCCACTTTGGCTTCCCAAAGTGCTGGGATTATAAGCAAGAGCCACCATGCCTTGCTGAGTCCAGTTTTTCTGACTCTTAGAGCCCAAACTCTTCCAGCTATGCAGTCCTGCATCTACTGGATCAGACCAGGTCACAAATCAGACTGGCCTCCGGCTCTGAGTGGAAACCCTATCCTTCCTCTTAACAGATTAGTAGTCTATCTTAACAAGAGAAAGACAGGAATGTGAGGCTACATCAAGAGTGAACCAGCAGACATGCAACACTGCATCAGACTGGCTTCTGCATTACTTACAGAGGCAGCAAACAAGCACTCCAAGAAGCCAAGATGATCCTCCAGGTTAAGACAGTCTCAGAAAAACAGAGCCAAGCAAAGTAGTGACAAAGAAAAATTTTTTTCCACGCTTGTCAGTCTACCCACATGAATGCTACTTCATGTGTTATGTTTATTATCCTCTTTCCCCATTTTTAAGCCACCCTGGGCAGTTTTCTAGGAACTTGACTTTCCCTGACAGGGTTGATGCCATCATATGACAGACTGGAACAAAAGTGGGCTTTAGAATCAGACAGGCCTGGAGTTACACCACAGCTCTCACCTCTGAGCTGTGTGTACTTGGCAGGTCACGTCATAGCTCTAATCCTCAACTGTAAAAGTGGGGATACTAATGCCAACCGTTCAGGAACACTGAGATCATAAGATGTGTAGGATTCTAATTTAGTGTCTGAAGCACAGTAGTTACATGAAACATATTAATTTATTTGGCATTCATCATATTCCATTTCGTGTTATAATGGACGATGACCCCCTCACATTCACACAGAGCTTTACATTGCAGAAGGCTTTCACAAATATAGTCTCATTTAATCCTTATAACAAGTCTGAGAGCCAGGTAAGAAAGGTTATGTTCCTAGAGAGGGAAAGGAAATGGATGCTCAGAGAGATTAATGACCTAACCTGTCTGAGCTGCAGTGTTCTCTTTGTAAAACAGAGACTTGCCCAGAAAAGAGTGGGGCCTACTCTTAAATCAAATTTCTTTGACTTCAAAGTCTTCCTTCTATACCATGTTATCATCTTCTATTAGAAACTGGTCTACTTATTAGACATGCATGTCAGACAAGCATGATGATGGCTCTACCTTCTTCGCATGCCTTCATACCCACGCACATGCACACCCGCACATCCTCATACCTGCCAGATCTGTGACAAGGAAGCTGCCATTTGTCCACTGATACAGCCAGTGCTGGAACGTCTGGCATTTCTGCATGGCCTCAGAGCTGCTAGGTGCCGCTGGGGCCCCAGCACAGCCCCATTCCCGGGAACAGTGAGACTCCAGGGGCTTGCCCAGGTCCTCCTCCAGGGTAGCATAAGGGATATTGTTGGCAGGCCGGTAGATCAGATACAGTGGGATGATCCTAAACACAGTTCCACCCTGCAGTGAGCAGGAAGTATGGCCCCCAAGAGTTCCTCCCTCCAACCCAATTCTGTACTCTTGAATCAAAAATAAGGGCCCTTCAGTTGGGTGCTGTGACTCATGCCTGTAGTCCCAGCACTTTGAGAGGCTGAGGTGAGAGGATCACCTCAGTCCAGGGGTTTGAGACCCGCCTGGGCAACTTGGCAAGATTTCATCTCTACAATAAATCAATTTTTAATAATTAGCTGGGCGTGGTGGTGCACACCTATAGTTCCAGCTATTTGGAAGGATGAGGTGGAAGGACCACCTGAGCCCAGCAGGTTGAGGCTGCAGTGGCCATGAACATGCCACTGTACTTCAGCATGGGTGACAGAATGAGACTCCAACACAAAAATCAATTTCTAGGCCAGGCATGGTGGTTCACCCCTATCATCCCAGCACTTTGGGAGGTAAAGGTGAGAGGATTGCCTGAGCCCAGGGATTTGAGACCAGCCTGGGCAACTTGGTGAGACCTCATCTCTACAATAAATCAAAAAAAGCAGGGTGTGGTGGCGCATGTCTATAGTTCCAGCTACTTGGGAGACTGAAGCAGAAGGATCACTTGAGCCCTGCAGGCCGAAGCTATAGTGAGCCGTGATCAAGCCATTGCACTCCACTCTGGGCAACACATTTAGACTTTGACTCAAAAAAAAAAAAAAAAATAGAAGGGCCCTTTTAAGAATGGAATTCTCAGCTCTGAGCTGAAGAACAGCCAGGATGGGCAGCTCCACCTGAGTTCAGGAAAGGAAATGGAGGCCACTGGCTTCAGAGTCCTGTCCATTCTCTGTGGTCAGTGGGATTGGTACCAAACCTGCTATACCACAGGCAGACTTCTTGCTTGAGTGAGGAACTGAAGCCAGTGTGTGTCAAATAGAAAGAACACCTCTGGCCGGGGCTCGGTGGCTCAGCCTGTAATCCTGCGCTTTGGGAGGCCGAGGTGAGTGAATTGCCTGAGCCTGCGGTTTCGAGACCCGCCTGG